AGACCTACATACTAACACCCGCGAAAACCTCAGAAAACATACACACACACACACACACATATATATATACACACACACGCGCACACGCACACATACATACATACATACATACATACATACATACATACATACATACATATATATATATATAACAGTCCTTGATTTATGATAGCAATTGGGACCAGATTTTTGGGTATAAATCATTATGGTAATAAGTCAAGACATCCATGTGACTGAACCTGAATTTACAATATTTTTTGCAGTGGTTGTTAAATGAAAATGTGTTTGTTAAGTAAATGCCATGCTTGTAAATGAGAACCCATTCTTCTGAATGAGTGCTCTTTTGCCAGAGACCAGAAAAAAGGATACAAATCATGGCCAAGTGATCACAGGATGCTACGAGCTAGTTGCCCAGTGTTAAAAATGTGGTCATGTGATATTGGGGGTGAGGTGGGGTGGGAGGAAGGAGGTGGAATGACATTTTATGATGGCCAGAAGTGACACCCATTTTGGGCCTGTCATACATTTGAATGGTTGTTAAAGGACCAGTCATAAGTCAAGAACTACCTGCAGCCTCCACAAAATATTGCCACATGTCAGATTTTATCTCTAGTTAGTTTGCATGAGTATTAAATTCGCTATCCAGTCTATGTGGCTGGCTGTTTTCCACATTAGCAATTTGGCAGTCCTCTACTTAATTGGAATTTAATTTGCTGCTCTGCATGCCCTACTTTTAAGACTTATGTAGCTGATCAGAATCCTAATATTTCTCTTTTCCACTGGGAATATCGCTTTCATATATTTAAAAAAAAGTGCATATCCTAACAGGACACAATCTGGCATACCACGGCTGCCATTTATAGTTTACCTGACTTAAAAAAAATTCCCATGCGAAGCAGTCCTGAGGAACCATCTGTCAAAGCAATTTTCTTCCTCCTCTTTTAAATAGGTCTCTGGTAATGCTGCATTCCATTCTGAGGCAAAGATTAAAGTGTTCTTTATTTGTACATTAAAATAGTATCAGAGGGGAAGTCTGGAGATTTTTTTTTTTTTTTTTGCTTTACAATGCATTTTTCATTTTTTTTTTTTGGCTTCATATTCTAACAATCTAACAAGGTTCCTCTGCCTGCTATTTTTATAGGACTGTGAAGAAATACGACAAACACGGCCATCTGATTTCCAATAAAGCAGATTTGTGTGATTGTCTAGAGAAGAACTGCCTGGGCTGCTTTTACCCTTGTCCTAAGTGTAATTCAACCAAGTGTGGAGCAGAATGTCGCTGCAACCGGAAATGGGTATATGAGCAAATTCAGGTGGAGGCTGGCCAAACCATCCGATTTCCATTTCGAAACAACTAGATCAAATTATGTTTCCTGATATTATTTTTCTCCCCTTTGTAAAGAAAAACAGTGTATTTTATTTTATTTAACAAATAAAGACAGGGTTGTTATTGTGGATTAGTCACTAAGTCATTTCTGACTCTTCGCAACCCCATTGACTACAACATGCCACTCTCTTCTACTGTTACCTGGAATTTGCCCAAATTCATGTTCATTGTGTTGATGACACTATCTAACCATCTCATCCTCTGCTGTTTCCTCCTCCTTTTGTCCTCCACTTTTCCTAGCATCGGGGTCTTTTCCAACGAGTCCCTCCCTGTCTCGTTAGCTGCCAAAGTATTTGAGCTTCAGCTTCAGTATCTGTCCTTCCAAAGAACAGTTGTGGCTCTTTTTCTTTAGGAAACTGCAGGGTTGCCATACTATTTGATGGAAGGAAAATAAATAGCTTAAATGACACAAGGAAACTTGGAAAAGTGTATGTCTTGAGGGAAAAATAGCATAACAGAACCATGATTGCAGGGGAGGGAGAAGATAGTTTGATAATGAAAGCATCAGGAGAATCTGGACAGAATTGGAGAAAAGGTTCTTCATGTTTGTCTAGCTTTGTTTCTCCATTACAAATCAGTGCCTCCCCCATGTGCTTTATATAGCCCACTTGAAGTGCATGAAGTGGAGGGTTTGTTCATTTTGAAGATCTTGGAAAACATGTGATTAAAAGACATTTTGCATGGTAGTGTTGGAAGAAATGTCCTTCTGGGTTCGGCTCCAAGTGTGGAAAAAGACACTGGAGACATGGAGGCTGCTTGGAAAGGTGGTTTAATGGTGGACAGGACCACATGGCTTGAGTCCTGAACAGAAAAGGTGATCACATGCTTCAAGTTTGGGTGGAGAAGAAGAGAAGCGCCTGAACAGCTGAAAGTTTCTGGCTTTATACTCTCTGTTTGGCCCCATCTCTCTGTTTCCTGTTCCTGTGTAAGAAATGTATTCTGACTGGTTGTCAGACTCCCATGGGGCCAAGTTTGAGTTTGAAAGCAGCTTTTGCCAAAAGCACCAAAAACTGGTTCAATGACCGTGGGATTACTGTGCTTGATTGGCCTCTCCATTCTTCCTCCATACTCTGGGTCCTTGGTTTCCAAATGAGATGCAAAAGTTGCTCTCATCAGAAAAGAAAACTTTGGACCACTGTGCTTCATTACTTTGGACAACTGTGCTTCATTAAGACCAGGATCAACGCAGCCAGGAGATTTTGGAGCA